AAAGATAAATGAGATCATGACTTGAGTAATGGTACCTTGTAGAAGACATGTGTTAGATTAGGCCAACTCCTAAACTTTACACCAAAACACCAAATCTTTTGTGAAATTTCTTAAAGAATGAAACACTAAAAGTTACACCAAATCACTAAATTTGGTGGTGTACACTATTCACTACACCAAATATTAAATTAATGTAAATCAATTGATTAACATTTGTAATTTGAAAATAAATAGGACATAAATATTTTTTATTTAAACATTTTTAAAATATAAAATTTTAATTAAATAAGATTGAACAAAAAAACTAATTTAAAGACAGATTGATTTTTTTTAAACATAATAAAATACAAATAAAATCTTAAACACATAAAATTAAAATTAAAAACATAATTAAAAATCTTAAATGCAACAATTTTTTTTTTAAATCAAGATTTTAATAATATAATATATATTTTTTTTTATGTGAGGTTTGGCTTTTGTGGTGGAGATGAGAAACAAAAGTTAAACCAAAACACAAAATCTGGAATTAACACCAAATTTGATGCAATGGTTGGAGCTGCTTTCAGAGCGGAGGTTATTGTCTTGAAAGTTGAAACCATACCATAACTCGTTATGACTCTCCTTTCTCGACAACCCTGTAGAGGGAAACTTAGCATGGATGATATTAACTTCTCTCAACTTAGAGAATTCGTCTTCTCCAATGACATCTCTGTGTCTGGAGTAACTGGTGGTAACACAAATCATTGATGAGGGGTTTGAGAGTAACTTTTTGACTAAGAATTTTTGCAGGAAAATGATAGTTCCAACAAGATAGAGGGATGGATGGCGCAACTAATTGTCCACGATGTTGTGCAAAGGCTTTAGAGGCTTGAGGCAAGAATAAGAAATGAAACTTTTTCAACAATTTGTTTTTTAAGGCAAGAATAAGAAATGAAACTTTGTCAACAATTTGTTTTTTATATAGTTATAAACTTATAATCTAAATATTGAAAAAAAAAAACCTAACATTTTGTATATTATGTTTTTATATGAACGCTCACCAAAAAAATTGTAGCCTAGAAACGAATCCAGGTGTTGCAAAACAATTGAAATTATGGCATAAAGAGAGAAAAGGTCATTGAGAACAGCTCTTAAAAAATCAACTAGATCTGTTATAGTTTTAGTGAAAAAATAATAGAATTAACTAGAAAATAAACACGATTTTCAAATAAATGCCTCTTGGCTCTATAATGATACCGTCATTGGTGCTGGTTTTTTTGTTATTGATGATGTAGATGGTGGAGGTATTTTTGGCTCTGGCTGTACACAAGTGCTATCCACTTTATTGATCATCACAATAACACAGAAACTCAGACTACAAGACAAAAAAAAGTAAATTTTCAGACAAACTTGTATTAGTTGTTCATCAAAGAATACTGTGAGTATCAGATGATCCAATGTTCTTGATTTCAGAGGTGAGGCAGGACCAATCGAAAGGAGGAAACGCATAGGGTCCCTTAAGCAAACCCTCAGCTATCCATCTGTAGGCAGACTCAGTCAAATGAACACCGTCCCAATTCACATACTTTGAAGGATCATTACAAGCTTCAACTCCTTCAAACCCACATTTTTCACCAAATGTAAAGTTGTAAGATCCTCCCAAACCGCAGCAAGCGGGCAAAGGTCTGGCCTCAAACCCTGGTTGTACGATTAGACTCGGTTTAGCAAAATCAAATCAATGAACTTGGTTGTGTAGAGGTTAAAGTAGCAAGATCAAGAAGAAGACTAACCATATTTGGTTGGTTCTTGGAAGAGGCGTGACACAGAGTTGTAGTAGTCTGCGTATATGATGTTGACGTGAGGGTAAAGCTTCCTGAGTTTGACTAACTCTTCCTGAAGCAGCTTGTTGTAGTATTGTGAAAACTCGTTTAGCCATGTCAAACATCCTGTTAGAGGATCATATGCTTCCGTGTTTGTGGTTTGATATAGTGTCAGATACGTCACTGAGCATCCCAGTGGGAAATCTCCGGGAACCAGAAATGTTCTTCCCCCCATACCAATCAACTCCTGTAAATAATACAAGTTTAATCCTTTTGTTGTTCCTCAGACAAAAGAAAAAAAAAAACACAGAACAGTTTGTGCTTTTGATGTTTACCTTGATTGCAGAAGAAATAGTGGTGATCACCAGTGGAACCATCTCTTTGATCTCATCAACGGGTTTGCTCACGAAGAATGCGTAGTTATAGTCATTCCCTCCAATTTCTCCCATGAGAATCAAAGCATTTTCGATCATATCTCTGCACTCTGAGAAAAAAAACAGAACACAAAGTAAACCGTTATTACAAGTGAGCTCGTTTGATTGCATCTTGGAGGTTACTTTTTTTTGCTGTCACTTTCACTAGTTATAAACCAAAGCTGAATATAGAATCTTGAAAAATGCTATTCTCTATGATTGTAGCATATGAAATCAGATTTGACATTCTAATCATACTAAAGAGGGAAACACCAAATACAGAGAAAAGAAGATGATCTTTCATTTACCTGAAGGAGAGCCACAGAGTTTAGGCAAACTCTCTTTGAAGCTCGTAAGCTGAACACCTAAACTGACATTGGTGTAAGCAAAATTAATCCCTCTCTCCTCAAGAACAGAACGTTCCATTGCCGTTGCTCCACCCACCGCGAAATTGACTCCTTTCTCAAAGTTTGCATTTTTAGATCCGTAAAAAGGAGGCACAAGCGGAAATCCCAAGAATTCAGCTGTGGATGCAACAATAGAAATCAACTCTAGCTTCAAGAACCAATAAGGCTTAACAACACAAACACATAGAGTGATTTTTGTTTTTTTTTAACGCAGGGTGAAATCAAATACAACCAAGTCCATGATTCGATTAGATCCGGATTGTTCGGAAGATGTATCTTTTCAATTTCAACTTCGTACACACTTAGTCACAAGTTCTAAGTTCTAAGTACCGATGAAATCGATGATGAGGCGGCCGTCAGAGAAACGGCCGGTCGGTTTGTGGAAGAAGGTCTCTCCGTACGGAGGAAACGCGACGTGTGGAAGAGCGTTAGGATCAGAGAGACCGAGCAAGTTTCCGGTGTCGGCAAGCGAATCGCCGAAGCTGATGATCGACTTGAAATTCCGGCATTGTGTTTCCGAGTTCACTGTAGTGATCACAAAAAGAGTAGATGAAAAGAAGACCACGAGCTTCATCAACATAGGAGAATCGAGAAACGCCATGCGAGAGGCCCGAAGGTTTGGTCTACGGTCTCCGGTCTCTGTCATCTTGTTTCTTTCAATTATTTGTGATATTATGAAAAAATAGTTGTTGGAAAGAGCAATTATTTCTTTCCCCAGAGAAATTTTTTAGGGAAATTGGCAAAAATGACAACCAAAAAAATTATAATTCACCATCTAACCATTTCAAAAGTATGGCTAGACTATTCTGTATATCTTATGTAATATTACTACACATACCCTTGTTCAGTCACCACCATTCATCCTCTTCTCTTTTTCATCTTTTCCATTTTTATTTATTTTATTTTTCTTTCCCCCTTGTATCTTATATGCTTTGATACTTAAAAAACAAAGCTAATTTAAATTCGTAATAGCATTGAAAAAAATATAGATTTTCTTCTGTATATTCCATAGTTCAAATTTTTTAAAACTGATAAAAAATTAATCAAATACAAATATACTTCTAAGAAAAATCAAAATAATATAATGAAATAGTACTGAAGACAATCTATGTAGAATAGTACAGAAGACTATTTATGTTTTTTTTTTGTGTGTATTACTCATTTTATTTTACTTATTGAAGGGTTTAGGGTTTAGTATTTGGGTTTGGGTTTAGTATTTAGGGTTTATTTTTGAAGCTTTAGGATTTAGTTTTGAAGGTTTAGGGTTTTGTTTTAAATGTTTAGGTTTGTATTTAGTATTTGGGGTTTAGGTTTACTTTTTAAGGGTTTAGGGTTTAGTATATGGGGTTTAGTTAAGTGTTTAGGGTTTAGTATTTGGGTTTGGGTTTAGTATTTAGGGTTTAGTTTTGAAGGTTTGGGTTTGTATTTAGTATTTGGGGTTTAGATTCAGTTTTGAGGGTTTATTGTTTAGTATTTGGGTTTAGGTTCAGTATTTACTAATTAGTATATAGAATAATATTCTTTATTATGTATGTTTATATAGAGTGACTATATATATTTTCATTAGCAACAATATATAGTATATATTTTCATATTCAAGTTAAGAAATAGGGGAAATATTTGTGTAATAATGGCATTAGAGTTATTTAGAATCAAAGAGAAGGATCAAATGGTCAATTAGAAGTGGGTCATAGTTAGTTTCTAAATTATGGATTTAACATGGCTATATTCTTTATTTTTGAGCTCAATATAGTCATTGTTGGATATCAATCCAAGTCCCACATTAGAAGTTAGACAGAGAAGTGTCTAATATATAAGTAGTGTCCCACCTAACTAGTATGAGACCTTTTGGGAAGAAGCCCAATAACAAATCCGTGAGGGTTAAGATACATGGACCCAAAACGGACAATATCATACTAGTTAGACGGTTGGACACGGGGATGTAGTAGACTTCATTCAGCATCTTTCTTCTACACATTCAGCATCAGGCTCCCTTCTTATGCTGTCGTAACTCCTCTACGGAACTCTATTCAAGAATCTGGGCATCCCTAATCGCAAGATTAACTTGAGGGCTATCTTCCCACATCCTTATGTGTAGTGCCCACACCTACTTCTTCAGGTCCACTTCTCTGAACTTTGCTCTGATGCCAATTATAGAATCACGATATCAAGAACACCAAAGCTTAATAAGAATAACTCTCTTATTATCTTAAGGAAAATTACTCAAAACCTTAAGCTCTCAATCTCACAAGTTATACCACAACTAGGTATCTCCTTATATAGATGAGCATACAACATTCTAGACCTTCCATTAGATAACTCCTAATAACTCCTACACATAAATTCTTAACAAGGTGTGTTGAGAAGAAGTCGTGTGCACCATGAGTAACGAGAAGAAAGAAGTCGTTGAGAGCAGCGGTTCTAGGATTGCTGAGACCAACTTAAAAGAAGGTGGATCTCCTTCTGTACGGTGTCCGATGCTGAGTAACACAAATCATACGGTGGGGTCCATGAAGATGAAGGAAGGTGATACAATTGATGAGTTCGTAGGGAAACTTTCGGAAATCTCCTCCAACTCTGCTGCTCTTGGAGAAACTATTGATGAACCAAAACTAGTAAAAAAGTTTCTCAATAGTTTACCTCCAAGAAGATTCATACACATTATTGCTGCTCTTGAGCAAGTTCTTGACCTTAACAAGACCAGCTTTGAAGATATTGTGGGGAAATTAAAAGCCTATGAAGAAAAGATTGGTAAAGAAGAAGAAGAGCACCATGACGATCCAAGCAAACTAATGTTTGCTAACACAGGCACACCACAACAATACCAAGGGGCTCACGGTGGTAACAGAGGAAGAGGACGAGGGGGTCGTTCTAATTGGAGAGGAAGAGGTCGAGGAAGAAACGGAGGCTATCAAGATGGAAACTTTAGAGAGTTGAGCGATGAAGAGTATCTCGCTGGAATTACGTGCTTTCGATGTGATCAACAAGGGCATTACGCCTCCGACA